ACCTAAATATTTAACTTAATTATTTACCTAACTACCTAAATATTTAGGTAGCCACCTAAATATTTAACTTAATTATTTACCTAACTACCTAAATATATTTAAGTTGCAACCTAAATATTTAGGTGTGAACCTAGTGTGAACCTTCAGCTCGTTCTTGTGAACGGTGAATTTGCAACACAGAACTGGTACCTAGTCAGCCCTGTCCTGCACCTGCAGTACAGCCTATACCAACTGCATTATTGTCTTTATTCCAGTTGATACCAGTAGAAAGAAGAAAAACATCACATCATTCAACAGGAATATAATGATTTGTACCAGTTTAAGTTGCAACAACAATCATTGTCATCATCCCAGTTTGCTTTAGCCTCACCATCTAAAGCAGCGTCCATCATGGATTAGAGTCCAACTCTGGCTCAGACTGGTAAAACTGTCAAAATTCACTCATCTGTCAAAATGTTTATGACTCACGTATGTTGTAAACAACCCTGCTGAGAGGAGAGAAGTACCGAGCTGAACGAGACGGCTGTAAATGAGAGCTGCTGATTTGTCAGACAAATTTAATTTAATTTAGAAGTCTTATCAACACAGACTGGCTTCATTCACTTCCACCACTGCGTATGCTAAACTAACTAGCACACACTGCGCAGAACATCGACGTCATTCAAAACTCCTCCTTCTGTTCTCTGATTGGCCCGGACGAAATTCTCCTGAAGAAATCCTTGTCTATGGGAGAAATCCCAGACGGAGCAGTGAAGGGAAACTGCGTAGGAAGGCAAGGGCCAGGCTACTTTCAGGGGGTCATCAATGCCCATATCCAGCAGTCACTGTGCCAGCGGCAGGACACACTTGACAGGTCTTTAAGTCCATCACAGGGCAACATTGAGACAAGCAAACATCCACACCCAGGGACGATTTAGAGTTACCAGTTAAACTGACATGAATGGTTTTGGTCTGTGGGAGGAAACCGAAGTAACTGGAGAAAACCCATGGATGCATGGACAGAACATGCAACCTGTACCCAGAAAGGTCCCGACCAGGATTCAAACCTTCTCACTGAGAGGCAACAGCTTTAACTGCACCATGCCATCTTTCTGGAAATCCATTTCACAGAATGCAAGCAGCTGTGTTTTTATTACAGTTGTAGAGTTGATGAGCAAACACCAGTGCAGCGATGCTGACTCACTCTGGCTTTGTGCTTTGATGCAACTTCATCTTTACTAAAAAATATCACCTCACGATTCTTACTATTTTTATTATTATTATCATCATCAGCACTACTAAGAACAAGAGTCTGTTGAGATTCCACCACTTCAGCCAATATCGTCAGGTCCAAATCTGATGTGTTTGTGCCTTTGTTGTTGTGGTGGTACAGTAAACAGGACTCAGACCTTCTAACAAAAAATGAATCATATCAAAAATGTCCCCTTAAAAGGACAAAATCACTCAAGCATCTAAAAAAAGGTTCACCATCTAAACTCAACGCTGCTGCTGCAGCCAACCAAACGAAAGCCTCAGTGAAGCCGAGCCAAGAGTCAACACAGTTGGGCCAGAGGAAACACAAACACATTTATTCTGTATCTAGGTTAACTTTGTCTGGCCAATCTGCTCTGGTTTCTCTATCCTTAATCTCCTCCCCTGCTTTAACACGCTGGGAGGTAGAGCGTATAATGCTAGGGGAGGATTTTCTTTGCACAGGGTGTGAACAATGAAGCTGGTAGACAACAACAAATCAGGAGGCAAGAACAGAAATAATCATGGGGGGGGGGGGTGCAACAATGAAGATTATGCATTTGTTTGTTTCCCCAGTTTTAAAATACACTGTCAATGTCAACATTTAAACTTTGGTTGCAGCATATCTGGAATTATGAGAGTTGGATTAGCAGAGCTGATATATATATATAT